GGAGGATGCTCCAAATGCACTGCTTCCAAGCTGCAAGCTTGCTTCTCCTTGGATTTCTTTGAGAGCATCCAAATCGATACATATTTCCTATTTCTGGACTTGCATCTTCCAGCCATCCTCCAGATAGATAAAATATATAGATCAGAGAGAGAGAGATAGTAGGTAGATAGATCAATCAGGAAGACTGCTGGGAGTTAGGTAGAGAATAGGTAGAGAAGGAAGAACGGGGAGAAAGAAGAAGGGAAATAAAGAGGGGAAGGAAGGGAAGAGGAAGAGAAGGAAGGAAGGAGAGAAAGCAAGAAAAAAAGGAAAGGAAAGAGAGAAAGAGGGAGGGAAGGTTGGCCACAGCAACGTATGGCGGGTACAGCTAGTGTGTGTGTGTGTGTGTGTGTGTGGTTAAAAAATCATAGAATCAAAGAGTTGGAAGAGACCTCACGGGCCATCCAGTCCAACCCCCTGACAAATGGCCCTCCAGCCTCTGTTTAAAAGCTTCCAAAGAAGGAGCCTCCACCACACTCCGGGGCAGAGAGTTCCACTGCTGAACGGCTCTCACAGTCAGGAAGTTCTTCCTGATGTTCAGATGGAATCTCCTCTCTTGTAGTTTGAAGCCATTGTTCCATTGCGTCCTAGTCTCCAAGGAAGCAGAAAACAAGCTTGCTCCCTCCTCCTTATATATATATGTGTGTGTGTGTGTGTGTGTGTGTGTGTCTGTGTCTGTGTGTGTATGTATTTTTATGTATGCATTTTTATCCTTTACAATTTTAGCTTGTAAATCGCCTAGAGCATCTTGGATGGAGGGCGATTAATAAGTAATTAAATGATTATATATATGACCATCACTTAAAAAAACACTGAAAAAGACAGTGGAAGGGACTTAAAACACCAAAAAATAAAACATACATTACAAAACATATGCAAAATGAGATATATATAAATATACACATATATAAACACACACAAAACACATATACACAGACCGGGCCACAGCAACGTGTGGCAGGGGACAGCTAGTATGTGTGTGTGTGTATATGTATATATGTGTGTGTGTATCAAAGTATGTAACGGATGAGGATTGAACGAGAGGGCATCGTTCTTTTTAAATTGTTTATTATGCACTGGCATTTATGTTTAATTTGCACTTAATGTTTTTGCTTTATTAATGTATGTATTTTGTTTCGGCATCGAGTCGCCTTCGGGGTGAAATGGGTGGGATAGAAATAATGTAAATAAATAAATAA